AGTAGTTGTACAGTAGTAGCAGCAGTAGTAAGTAAAAAAGCAGTAGTAGCTGTAGTAGTAGCAGTAGTAGTAACAGTAGTAGTAGCGGTAGTAGTATGCAGCAGTAGTAGCAGTAGTAGTAGCGAAGTAGTAGTAGCTGTAGTATAGCAGTAGTAAAGTAGCAGTGTAGTAGCGAGCCAGTTAGTAGCAGTAGTTAGTGCAGCAAGTAGTTAGAGTAGGTAGTTGCAGCAGTAGTATAGCAGTTGTAGTAGTAGCAGTAGTAGTAGCAGTAGTGTAGCGAAGTAGTAGTAGTTGCAGGGTATAGCAGTAGTAGCAGTACTAGTAGCAGTAGTAGTAGCAGCAGTAGTAGTAGCTGTAGTAGCCACCATTAGTATAGCAGCAGTAGTAGCAGTGTGAGTAGTAGCAGTAGTTAGCAGCAAGTAGTAGTAGCAGTTGTTAGTAGCACGTAGTTGTAGGTGAGCAGTAGTAGCAGCAGTAGTAGTAGCAGTTAGTAGAGTAGTAGTAGCAGTAGTAGTAACAGTTAGTAGCGGTTAGTAGTAGAGCAGTAGTAGCAGTATTAGTTAGCAGTTGTAAGTAGAGTAGTAATAGCCAGTAGTAGTAGCAGTAGTTCAGTAGCAGCAGTATAGCGTAGTAGTAGCAGCAGTAGTAAGCAAGTAGTAAGTAGCAGCAGTAGTAAGCAGTAGTTGTAGTAGCAGTAGTAGTACAGTAGTAGCAGTTGTAGTAGTTAGCAGTTAGTAGTAGCTGTAGTGCAGTAGTAGTGTAGTAAGTAGCAGTAGTAGCAGCAGCAGCAGCAGCAGGGCAGTTGTAGCAGCAGCAGTAGTAGCAGTAGTAGTAGCAACAGTTAGTAGCAGTAGTAGTAGTGCCCCCCATCTTTGTAGCAGTAGTAGTTGCAGTAGTAGTAGCAGTCAGTAGTGCAGTAGTAGTAGCAGTTTTAGCAGTAGTAGTATAGTAGCAGTAGGAGTAGCAGTTGTAGTGCAGCAGTAGTAGCAGTAGTAGTACAGTAGTAGTAGCAGTAGTAGTAAGCAGTAGTAGTAGCAGCATTAGTAGCAGTAGTAGTAGCAGCCAGTAGTAGCAATAGTAGCAGGAGTAGTAGCAGCAGTAGTAGCAGTTAGTAGTACAGTAGGGAGTAGCAGTAGTATCAAGCAGTAATTGAGTTGCAGCAGTAGTTAGCAGTAGTGGTAGCAGTAGTAGTAGCAGTAGTTGTAGTATGTAGCAGTAGTAGTAGCAGTAGTAGTAGCAGCAGTAGTAGCAGTAGTGTCAACAGTAGTAGTAGCAGTATAGGTAGTTGCAGTAGTAGTAAGCTGCAGTAGTAGAGTAGTAGCAGGTAGTAGCACAGTAGTGCAGTCGTAGTAGTAGCAGTTGTAGTAGTAGCATGTAGTAGTAGCTCAGCAGTAGTAGCAGTAGTAAGCAGTAGTAGTAGCAGCGTAGTAGCTAGTAGTAGTGCCAGCAGTAGTGGCCAGTAGTAGTAGTAGCAATAGTGTTAAAACAATATTATTACAGTAATTTTAATTATTACTTATTGTAATAACATAGTAAATTACCGACAATTTGTAAAAGTAAAAGGACACAAGTGCAACTTAATGTTACATTTTATTGAGGCAACGTTTCGCTCTCTAGGAGCTTTGTTAAAACCGATACAAGCAGTATATGGACACAGAGGGTATATAAAGGCTCAGAGTGGGTGCCATCACATTGTCTGTCCTGTTTTTATACTTGACAAAGCACATTACAGAGATATATATATATTTATATATTAATATAAAATTTTTTTAAATATAAAATATATATATATATATTATATTTATATATATTATATTTTTATAATATTTTTGCCCTTTCCCTTTCCCAATCAAAAACTTTCAGTCATAATTTTCCACATTTTCCCCAGGAAAAATTTGTTTCCTTGTTTTTCCTTTTTAAATTCTATGAAAACTTCCAAAAACTTTCTTTCCCTTTTTTCTTTTTTGTCCTGAACTTTTTCCCACTTGCAAAATATCTTTCCGTGCAGTTTTTCTTCCTATACATTTTTAATTAAAACAAATATAGCCATATTTTCGTTATCAAATTTCGCCTTTTCCGCCGGGGGGGATCATTGAGCCTCTGAGAGATTTTTTACCCATCCCCCAAGTAAGAAACGTTATCGTAGGCTTAAAAAATTTCAGCAATAATTTTTTTACTTAAAAAAAGGTTTGTGAATGTCTTTGTTGCATTGGTGCCAATTTCCCAAAATTTTTTTTTAAAAAGCTGTGGGTTATCTCTTGTGGCTCTTAATTTTTATAATGTGTGTAATGCGGTTTGCCAAATTTTCCATTTATGTTTAATAGGTTGCAGTCTTGGCCCCGAGTCGTACTAAAGAATGATTAAATAGGCTTCAATTCCGAAATGTTGCTAAGGAAAAACCTCCGGTCTCCGTGACTAAAATTTCTCCTGGGAATGTGGTAAATATTTATTTAAGTAATTTTTTTGATGCAGTTGACCAAAAATATAATTACGCATTGGTTTCAGCAAAAATTGTGAGTAGCAGTTTCCCATTAATTATTTTAAATATATTTTCCCCATTTAAAATTTTTCATCAACTAAAAAACTCACTAACAAATGTCTAAAAGTAAATGAAAAAAAGTCATGGAATTTTTTATGAAAATGTGTCGTTGATTTAATACTGTATATTTTAATATTTAGACCAATAACACTTCTTAACATGAATATTTCATACAAATTTAAATAAGTTTCCACAATCAATTTGGTTACAAATACCACGACACCCCTGCCCCGCCCTTTAGGGTTTGGGTAGGTGCTGAGCCCGAGCTTTCATCACAAGACTTCATTCCCATTTAGCCCCTGAGGGCGGGAATGGCAGACCGGAGGCTAGTTCTCCTACGTCCCGTGAGGCGGGGAAATGTGGCTAGGCCTGGGACAGTTGGTCCCGAAGATGAGAGGGGTACTTGTTACTCCTCCCATGGGGACTTAGGTTCAGGCACTCCTAGACAGGGAGCCAAGGCCGGGCATCCATTATTTTAAGAGGTGGCCCGGGTAAACCAGCGAAAGGCCTCGGTAGATACCAAAAGTCCGAAGGCGGGTCACATCTAAATAAGACCCGCGTCAGGAAAACACTTGTCCTGTTCTTGATAAACCTTCCCTAAACCTAAAAGTTTCCACGATAATTTTCCTATTAATTCTTTTAATTTTTTTAAAAAGGAAATTACCCGATTGATCTAGCAGTAATTAAAAAATTATGTAGACTTAGGTAGGTGTGGAAAATTGCATTTACTTGGATGTTCATTTTATACTTAACAGTAAATGAACTAGATAATTATTATTTATCAGTTAGATCAAATAGGAATTTGGGACACCTAGGTCGCAAAAAAATTTTCCCCTTCGATACCTACACTGTCATATCCACAAGTTGCTATGGACCTATTACTTAAGTGAAATATAATCACCCGGAATGCTGGTAAATATATAAATTGTGGGACTGTTTTATTAAAAATTAAAAAGGGTTATAGTATATACACACATTTATATAAAGAAGGAAAATGTCTTAATTATCACTCACCAATTTGACTGGAGATTAAGTTATATCATACTCAGAAAACCTCACTGTATATACATGAAATTAAAACTGGAGAGTTATAACATAACAGAACTTATCTGAGGTTCCCGGAGCTGTCTTGTCAGTCCTGTATCTCAAGTTATGCAGGAATGCACATCAACAATTTCGCCCCCATTTGAGAGGTGTCAGCCAATTTTAAACCTCTAGAGCACGAAAATTCTTCCCATTACACCTAACGTTTACTTTGGCTCATTCAACCAAAATGGCGACTTCCTGCCAGGCGCCAGGCTCGTTTTTCGATAACATAATTCTTTTAAAATCAATATAGGGCCATCGTTTACAATTTAAAATTACGTATTTCAGGAAAAATTTCGTATTTTCCACGTAGGTAGGTTTTTCTTTTTTTTTTTTTAAAAATTTTTAAAAGAGCTTTTAAATTACAACGACTTTTGAGTGAAAGTGCCTGACTCCCCCAGTCTTGCTTTCAGAAACATGGCCCCGACCCCTTTATTTCTGAGCCCCGAACTCTGCTTTTGAGTTACACATCCGAAGTTCTAAAA